GTGCCAAGAACTGGCGCTCCATATCTGCTCGGTAATACGAGGGATAATACTTTTTTTGAATCAGCTCCTTGAACTAGTCCCACGTACAACCGTCTTTTTCACCGGGACGCATACTCCAATAGGCTTGCGACCAGAGTTTGGCATCACCGGTCAGCTGGATCTGGGCACATAACATGCGATAACGATCAGGGCAGTTCATGACCTCGAAAATAATCTCGAGACCCTGAACCTATTCGTCTACTACACGAGGATCTCCTTGGCTGGAAAAGTTTTCTGGATGGTAGTCGCGAAACAAAGCGACCACTGTGGCCTGTGGGAGTTCCTGGTGATCTGGCTCTCTACGAGGAGGCATCTGAACATTGAAAGGTTTAACGTGATTAAATAACATATAAGATTAACTGACTGATTAGTTAAGCACACAGATCTCTTGACGAGTTGCTAAATAACCCGAAAATACTAAAGTCGAACTATCAAATGACTAGGACAATCGACTAAGTTCTGAAAATACTCGAGCATCTTACTGGTTTCTAGGGTCAATAACCTGATACCCTCTACTGAGCATAGACTTAAGTATTCATTTAAATATATAAACTGTAACTCAGCACTTACCTGATAGTCGGCGAGGCGTGAGCGTAGCGTGGTCGGGTCTTTTCTGAAATCTTCTGACTTAAAAAGTATTCAGATACACGGAAATGTGCTCTGATACCAATTTGTAACACCCCGCTAGCTTACTGAAATCAGAGTGCAATTTTCGCAAATCCTTTTCTAAAGTTTACGTTTTATTTGCGAAACATATATCGGGAGGCTACATAAAATGTTATTTTTCTAAAAATCCTTTAACTATAAACCCATTTATGAAAAATGGATTATCATTATAAAACAAGCGTGTGATATTGTATAAAACTAGACCCGAAAGCTCGGATCGTCGTCTGAAAATTTACACGCTAGTTTGAAAGTCTGAAAACGTCGGCGGAAGTAAAACGTGGCAAATATATACATATCAACAGTCTGCAAAATATATAAACATAATTACATGCACTGGACCAGCGACCACCCGCTCCACTCACTCCTCCAGACCGACCCTGTCTCCTGAAAAAGAATCATAATAGTGGGAGCGTGAGTACTATAAACACTGTACTCCACAGAAACTCATACTAAAGCAAACATCAATAATAATATCAATATCATGACTGCAGATATATATAAATAAACTGTAATCTGTAAACTCCAAACACGAGGTCTATACTTAACTAGCCATGTGCACACTCTGATGGGCAATTAAGGCTACTGCGCATCTACCAGAACTCTGGATGGGCAATGAAGGCTACTGCGCCTCCACCCAAAGTGGAA